ATAAAAAAGACTATCTTTAGATGAAATTGACAGAAGAGACCACCCCAGCCGTGGCGGCAGGCGCGGCAGCCAATGCGTGGCACCTGCCGCCACGCATGCAGGCGGCAGGCCTTGCCGCCAGAAAGTCAGGCGGCAGCCCGAGCGCCACAGAAAACCAGCGCCGCAACGGAACGGGCGCGTGCATGTGGTACCTGCCGCCTAGTGGCATGGCGACAGGACTGTTCCTGCCCTGCGTTTCGTTTGCGTTGCGTTTCATCTGTGTTGCGTCTCGTCTGTGTTTTGTCTGCTGTGTTTCGTTTTCTAAAGCCACAGATCCGTCTGGCTCATGTTGTTGATTCCTATGCACATCCGTCTGAATTTAGTCATTCTTGTATTATTATTTTTATTAAATGATCTCTGGAGGTCCTTATTTCATCCACTGACCCCCAAAAAAATTATTTCATCGTCTGACCCCTCTTCGCCCCGGATCGACAGGCATCTCAGTTGCACACAGCCGCGCCGCCCGCAAAGGCATCTTTGACCGACGACGACGACCGCCGCCCGTGTGACAGCCGTCAAACGTGTCCAACCAGAAAGCGCCAGTCAGCTGGATGAACCGGACTTGTGCGCATGACCCTGTTATCGCGGGGTCAGACCGTCTGATATAGCCAACTACCGGTGGGTGGGGTAGCTGCATTACCGTGTGGCTGAGTTGTTATGAGCCATAGGTACACGTAGTCGCCCATATTTACTAGACGTTTAGAGCATCTACAGTCGAACCTCTCAAACTCGCCTTATACGTCCGGATAGGCCGCCCGGTTACTGTTCGGCCACGACTTTTTGATCCAGACGGGTCTCTCAAACGGTCCTCAAACGCCCGGGCTGACCGGCACCCCAATATCCAGTCCAAATATGGGACGGATATGGGGGCGTCCGGGCACGCCCGCCACGTCGGACCTGACAGCCTGATCCAACCCCAAATTACCCCAAATCACCCGAAGACCAGCCGGATCCATTTGCTATCTCCTCTCTTCTTCCTCCTCCACGCCGTACGTCTAGCGCGCTGCCTCCGTGCCCGCTCCGCAGCCCTTTCCAGGCTCTCCGCCGCCAGCTCCGGAAGAGCCCTCCCGTCCTTGCCATGGGGAACGTCGTCGCCGGTCCAGACGCCACCGTGGTGCGGCTCAGCTGATGAACTTTCTGTGGATGCATCAGAATCTTCGAGATCAGCAGGTGCACACGCAACTACTCAATGATCATGTGAGGCACATGTGGACACACAATGGCAACCAAGAAGATAATGCTTGAGCTTCACACTTAAAATAAATTTTATGTAAACGCTATCTATGCTTGGTACCAACAATTGCTATTTACGACATTGTGTTGCATGATCGACGTGCATGTATTTGTTGGATTTGAGAGTCCGGATTTAAGATATGTGGATGCCCGGAAGAAATTATGAGGGTCCGTGCGGATGCTGGCTGCCAGCGGGCGTGCCCGGTCGCGTCCGCGGGCATTTGAAAGGACGGATTTGAGTCTATAGATGCTCTTATACCGAAATTAAAAAATACCTTGCTAAACGCTTAATAAGTCAGACCGTCTGGCTTCATTACTGATTACTGTGTGACTGTCTGACGAAATGCAAGGGACATACGAATCTGTGGTATTAAAAAACACGAAACGCACACGAAACGCAATGGACGAAACAAGGACGAAATGCAACAGTCCTGCCGCCATACCACTAGGCGGCAGGTAGCACACACATGCGGCCGTTCCGTTCAGCCGCTGGTTTCCTGTGGCGCGCGGGCTGCCGCCTGGATGTTTGGCGGCAGGTGCTGCTGTGTTGGCTGCCGCGCCTGCCGCCACGGCTGGGGCGGTCTCTTCTGTCAATTTCATCTAGAGGTAGTCTTTTTTGTCAATTTCGTTGAGCAGATGGTTTTTTTGGACAAAAATTCGTCTCGAGAGGGCGCCGCTCGGCTCCTGCTGCTTTTCGTCGCCTTGCTGTCAATGTGCAGCGTTCCCCTCCGGCGTGGTTGAGAGACAGGTGTTTTCGGTGCCTCTGTCGAGGTCACCGAGCATACTCTTGTAGGGATCCAATTCGATGCACGGATTGTTTTCGATCCGGCCACATCGCCCGCTTCTGCCGTGCTGAGAAGCATGTCCATGCTTCGCCGCTCCAATGTCCTGCTCCACCACCTGCATCCATCGATGATGTCTCCATGATAGATGTGCAGTTTCAACCTATCTCGACTGAGCAAGTTGGGTTGGCGGAGGAGACCGAGCTGCTTTGCATTGAGCTTCGTGACTGCCTAGTGCGAGCCGGGAGTGTTTTGGGGAGGGCGGAGGCCGCTCTCGCCAAGCTAGAGGTCGTGCCGGATGTGTCTTTGCTGCCTGAGCTTCAAATTGGGGTTGTGCCCGATGTGTCCTTGCCGCCCGAGATTCAGGTTGGTTCTGTCGATGGGGAAGCATGCATGTATGGAGATCTCTCCCCTCGTGCTACATCCTATCGGTTGCCGTTGCCTGCCATGCCGATTGCTTCTCGGAGTGAAGTTGTTCTTGAGGTCGTGGCTCCGGTGCTACAGATTATGCCTTAGCTCCAGAAGGTTTGTGGGGAGCCTACTTCGCCTATTTCGATGGTGCTTCCTAAGGAGATGGGGCCGCTTGGAGGGAACTTGGTGATGTCGATTGCGACCTCTCCGCCGTCATTGGAGCCCATTCAGACTCTCGACTTCGTGGACTGTGGAGGTTTGGATGCTACTATTGCTCTCTCACCTGAGGTTGTTGTACAGGTGGCGTCTGCGGGTGATGAGGTAGGTGCTTGGCACCTAATTCCGAGGTGACGAAGCCCATCCGGTCGCCCATCTTTGATCGTGATGCTATGTTGGCACGTATTGACGAGGTAGTCTTTCTGAAAAAACTTGGCCACTTGCTCGCCTCCTTGGAGGTAGCTTCTCCTGGGTCTGGCAAGGCGATTGCTTGCCTCCTAGCGGAGGAGGTTTCTACGGGCAAAATAAAGAAGGTGAAGAAGGCTCTCAGGACCATAGGCAAGAAGAGTGGTGTCATTGATAAGGCGTCAACAGCTACTTAATGGAGGATACTCAGTCCCATTGTCCTCCATCTCCGTGGATTTGGTGGCGTTCCATGTATGCAACACTTGTTTTGTCGGAGGTTTCTTTGAGGCATAGAAGTGTGAGGGTTCATGGTTGTTACATGTTATGTGTATTTGTCGGGTTGATGGTGGGGTTATGGAGTTTGTTTCTTAGCGAGTAGTCCGCATGTGGTCTATATGTATCGGTTTTCGTCCGGTTTTCCGTTAAGTAACTGGGCAATTCTCTTCTTCTTAATTAATCGATGAGGCAAATCTTTTGCCTCCGTTTCGAAAAAAAAACAAACAAATAACAGGCTGGGATTGTCATGTTCTCAGTTGCACATTATATTACCATGCCAAATTGACAAGCACATGAAGATACGGTAAATACGTAGGCTATAGGAACAGGAATTCGAATTTTCTCCGCCCAAGAACATGCTTCAGTGGAGAAATATAAGTCAGGATACACACAAACTGACATCACTCAAGGCTCAACTTCTACTCTGCCTTGACAGATAGCAAGCAACTGTGCTGCTGCTATCTATGTATGATTACTGATACACGATATCAAGCCACTGCAGCATCAAATTGACCTTAATTTGTTATCCTCGGGCTCCTCCAACAGCATGTTCTCACGCAAGCTGCCGTCATTCTCCTCGGCGAAGACGCCGCCGTCCACCTCTGTGCGCTATGCCCGGTGGAACCTCTTCCCCGTTTATGCGGTGCCAAGTCCTGATCTCATTATCAGCAGTGCCAACCAGGCTAGACAAATGAAAAAGGTTAATCAGCTGAATTTTCTTAATCTGTTTCGTTTTTAAGGAGGGACGCAGCTAGCGAGATTAACATGCAGCTATCGAAGGATAAATTCTAAAAACAAATGACGTGCATAAAGTAATTAAATTTCCCTTCATTGCACATACCAGCGACAGAGTGGCTGTTGTATCTCCTTGAGCTCGGGACACTCCTTTATGTACACTTTCTTTATTTTATCAACAACTGCTGCACCACCAATGGACTTGAGGCCTGAACAGTAGGAAATGCTAACTTCCTCCAGTACTGGACAACTTCCCAACTGGCTATTTGCGAGGTTGATGGATTCAATGCCCTGACAAAATGAAATGTCGAGCTTCTGCAACTGGTTGAGCTTATCAACAGAGAGTGACATCAACTCTCTACAACTGAAAACATAAATGCTCTTCATGGCAGGTACACAATCTGGCTTCAGGAATTCATCCAAGCTCAATAATTTGTTGCAACCCAAAATCGATATCTTAGCAAGGGATGGGAATTCATTAACACCACTAATTGCTACAGAGGCTATTGATGTAAGGTTGCGGCAACCACCAATATATAGGTCCTCCAGGGATGGAAGGTTGCTTATCCACATATGTAGGGGAATAGATGTCAACGATTCACAGCCACTTATCATCAAATGAGTGAGGGAGGTGAGGTCAAGGAAGCAGTTGACGAGGTGATCCATGGAATAGCCTGAGTTCTCAAAGTCTAGCTTTTTAAGAGAAGTAGGTAAGGCGACCGAGCCTTGCCAAATGATTTGATGACAATCTTTTATGACTAACTCTTCAAGACGATTAATGTTGTCTGACCGTGATTTATTGCCATGTGATCCATGTAACTGGACAAAGAATGATATGCTCTTCAAGTTGTGACACCTAAGAAATTCAAGGGAACGTAGCTTTGGAAGAAGGGTGGGCTGAAACCAGCTAGGACAAGATTCACCTCCGTAATACTCTACAAGCAAATGTTGGAGATTCCAGTGAGGTATCATTTCCATCTGGTTTTCCATCATCTTCCCCATCTCTGGACTTTGCGGACACCATTTTAGCGAGAGTTTGCCAGAGCGGCCCTTGTTATAAGAAAATTCTTTGACTTGATTTTCCGCAAGCTGATGGCATCGCTGAAGTCTGGGGGAAACATTTCAATCACAGAACTGCCACGGTCTATAACTTCGACATGATGCAGACGACAAACTGATGAAGGAAATGTGGTGAAAGCAGAAGTTCCAAGTAAACAAAGGTAACGCAGATGCTTTGAGTTGCCCATGCTCTCAGGTAGCTGTCCTACTCTGGAAAGTTCGAAACTCTTTTCTTTTTTTTCGCGAAATGGAAAGTTTAAAACTCAATACACGGAGTTTTAATAGTTCCTTTTTTTTTGCGGGTAAGTTTTAATAGTTCCTTGAACCAACAGTTTATCACAAGCTCAAAATCTTTTGCATTGCTATATGATTCATCGCATACCAAGGACCTCAAGTTTTCCTTCTTGCATATGCTCTCCAATTCAGAACACTTAACATCTCCGTTTGTGAATATTGAAAGATGACCGACATTTGAAGGAACTTCACCAAGGTCACTAGCACGCTTTATAATGAAGCACTCATCCTTCGAGACAAGTTGTGCTGTATCATGCATCAGGTCATGAATTACATATTTCGAACTATATGGCGATGCTTTCTGAAAGAATGAACGTCTAGCAAGGGCATCAAAGCACAGTGATGCTTCGTGGGGCTCCGCCACATATCCTTGTGCAATCCATATATCAGCTAGAAATTCCCTCTCAAATTTGTGATCCTTGGGAAACATTGCACATATTGAGAAGCATCTCTTCAATTTCTGTGGTAGGCACATATAGCTCAGTCGAAGGGCTGGCAGAATGTAAGACTCCTTTTGTTCTATTTGCCAGAGTTCACTTTCCATTATATTTTCCCAGTGTGTTGTACTTAGCTCCACTCCCAACAAGCGTCCGATAGTCTTGGCAGCCAATGGGGAACCCTTCAACTTTGGAACATTTTTTGCACCAATGCACTCCAATGACTCCCGGTTTCTGCAAGAACTTGCGGTTCCAAATGCACAGGATTTGAAGAAATCCCAGAATACCTTCGCTTGTAAGCCTTTTAACTCATAATTATTCATAGGGCTAACTAGATTAGCAACCTCGGGAGATCTAGTGGTGACCAAAATCCTAGTTCCTTCGGCACCATTTTCCAAAGATGCACATAAACTCTTCCATCGCGCCCCATCATCATTCAAGATGTCATCCCACATGTCATCAAGGACAAGTAAGAACTTTCTGGACTTGACAAAGCCTTCTAGGTTCCTCATAAGCACATCCAGATTATTCGATGATGCATCTCCGCCCAGGCGCTCTATAATCTCTTTTGTTAACCTTTTCATGTCAAAATCATCTGAAACACATGCCCAAATTATATTATTGTCGCCAAAGTGCTGCGTCGCCTTTGTATCCTTACATATTTCTTGGGCCGTTGTTGTCTTTCTGACACCTCCCATACCAACAATTGAAAATACATGCAACTCTGTCATTTTTGCTTTGCTTTCAGCCCTTCCTCTCTTACGTGCACGAACTCCTAGTGTTTCCAATAACTTCTTCGTTTCTTTTTCACGACCAACCATTTTTTCCTTATGCTTAACGTAGGAAGTTGTTTCTGGCCTAACTGATTTATCAAACTTCAGTGGTGCTTGGTGCAAGCCCATTTGCATGGACTGCTTATGGACATGATCTAGTTTTTTTTTGTATTCTGCTAACTTTTCTGCTGTAATCATTGGATTTGACACTGCCAATGAATTCCAGTAAGGTGCCATGCAATTTGTCTGGCCCCAAATTCTGGCTGCACTCAATTTTCCACTCGAGTGCATCATAATCAAGCTCATCAAGCAGGTCCTCCGCTTCGAAGACTGCATTCTTGATATGCGGGAGGCGATCAGCCGCTTGTTTCTTATGGCTTTGGTACTCGACCCGATCAATGAGGTCAAGCATCTTGGGCATTGTTGTATCCAGCTTCCAAAGATCATCCTTTAGCCGCTCAATTTCCTCTTTGTCTGGCAAACCTGAGGTGCTCCATGAAGAACAAGCTGTCATAACGGATGCCGTCTAGGTGAGTAATTCGTGACATGTCTTGATGCTGGAAAGCCCGTCAGCAGCTTTATAGAACATTTGCCAAGCGATGCACATAGCCATAAATGAAGACTGTTGAATCATATAAATGAATTAAGATTTAGTTCAAAGACAATGACATCAAAAACAGGCAATAATCTATAATGGGGAGAGATGCGGCATGAAGATGTTGGTGACTTAAGAATAAAGTCATAATAGGTAAGGTCAACAAGATATCACTCTGCGTACATATCCTAATAGATAACGACATGGCAAATATCACAACACTATCGAAAATTAGGAGATGCTGAAAGACATAAACAACAATATCAGAAAACCTGCCCTTCAGGATTAGAGGTGTGAGTGTGATTCTTCTACGAAGCCCCTTGGCAAAGGCATCTATCATAAAATGTTTGATTTCTTTCTTGCTTGAAATGTATGGCCCCGTATAGAATGTCAATTTAAGGTACCACACCCACAGAGTATTCACAATAGTATGTTTAGGAATCAGATTTCTGCCGTTCAATAGATTGTGGAATGTAATTTTTTTAGTGGCAGCAGCTATATGTACAGCGTATGTGAGATGTACTGAAGGAAGTAGCTGCTGCCCTGCCCTACATATGTTTGCAATCAATCAAGAGGGCAAAGCAAACGACCATATGTGCCAACATCAAGGTTTTGCTTACCGAATGAGGTAATTTTACCGAGGGGGACTGATAAATGTGGTTACCACGGTTACCGAGAAATACCGACAAATACCGAGAATATTTCGAGCGAATTTTATAGTTGAATTTTGAATTCAAATAAGAAAATGAACGAATATTCAAACCAGAGACCTCTCAAAACAGGAACTAGGTTGCTACCAACATGCCATAACCAACTTTCATTGCATTAATTAGACCCTACATACCTTACTGTAAATCGAGTGTTTAAATTCAAAGATTTCAAAAAAATGGTTTTTTTTGCTCGGTATGACGATTTACCGAGGGGCACGGAAATACGTGGTAACCATGGGAAATCTTGAAATTTCGACTGGTAACCAAAACCTTGGCCAACATATGTCACAAGCTCACAGCAGCAGCTGCAAATCTTTAACAGGTCATATCAAATCCAAAGAGTGGATGCCATACCAGGACGGCACCCTCTATCCCCATTTCAGGTTAGATCTAGTACATCCCACATGGTCCCGGTTTAATAACTACTCCCTCTGTTCCATAATATAAAACGTTTTTCAAGCTAAAATAGTTTGGAAAACGTTTTTATATTATGGAACAGAGGAAGTAACTAACTAAAGTACGCAGAAGTTAACACAACACAAGTAGCACGAGACAATATACCTCTCCAACCTCCGCCTCTCCACAGCGGAGGCAATGGGTCAATCCCGGCTTCTTCCTCCCCTAGCCCGCTCGCGTTTGATTGCCGAAAGAAAGAAGGAGCTCCGCCATGAGGGTCAGGCGCCGTGTGGCCTGGTGTCTACCCTCTAGGTGTAGACGTGTAGTGCAGGCGACCGGGGGTCAGCGAATGGATTGGCGGCCACATGAATTTTCCCCGCTAGTTCCATCATTACTTGAAGATGAGGAACGAATGGATGGGCGACCACGCGAATCTTCTCCGCTACCAATCCTTGGGGGTGAGGACTGAGGACCGACCGGATATGTGGACGGTGGGACTGGGGAAGGAGACGACAACGACCACGACCTTGCCCGCCAATGCCAACGCTTTCGAGGAAGCTTGAGACGAGCCGCTGGGATCAACCGCGTCGTCCAAGCTCTGTCCGAAGAGATGGCCGAGACGCTTCAAGGAGCCGTCGGGAGGTAGGCTGGATGCTTCGATTTGGAGCTGTACAAGCTTGTGTTTTCTTTTTTTTTCTATACTCCTATATAGTATACGAATATCAAGGTATATGGACCATTGGATCTTTGTAATCCAACGGTTCACATTCGATTGCTTTGGATAGAGGACTACGTGGCTACAAGCCGTAGGATGGGCTAATCTAACGGTCCACCATGCAGGGATTCGCCGTGGGTGACCATCCTTGTGCTGCCAAACTGACACCGTGCATGCAGGCTCGCGATTCTTCCATACCGGGGCACCGCTCCCTAGAAATCTCTGGTAGGCTCACGAGTAAACAAGTGCTGCCCTACAGTGAATTACTACTTGCAAGCTACTATGCCAGGCAAGTACTACTACTAGGCGACGTGACGAGGGAGAAGAAAAGAACGCATGCAGCATGCAGCCTCCGAACGGACAGATTAGAAATGACAAGTAGACTAGCTTAGTATGTGTTGTGACTAAATAGCTACGTATATATACTTCCTAAACTCACATAGGTTCTCAGGCATGCCAAAAATATTTTTTCATTTTTTCCATGTAAACATTTTCGCATTTTTTTGGTTTGTTAAAAATTCACGCATGTACTGTGATCTACATGTTTGCCGAACTGATATTTTTTATAAAATAATTATGAAGATTACAGCCTCTGCAAAAATAAGAAGACTGTTCATGTTTATATGGATTTAGATAAGCTTTTTTGACCCCCTCATGCTTGTCATTTTTTGTACTCCATGCAAATCGCAGTATATTTTTTTGGAAACTTTTTTTATGCTAAAGAACACCTCCATTTAATTTGCATGCATGATTTTTCTGATGAATTTTTTGTATTAGTAGCGTATTTACCTTTAGGGGAATATTACTAGCATATTTGAAGAAACAAATTGCTCTCCAGGGTGCCCGAGAATCAAAAAGGCTGATTTGCTACTTTCTCTTATAAATTCATTTTACAAATATTATGGCCCAGTTTTTCCTTTATTTTCCCAATGCTTTTGTTGCGTAGACTTCTACTCATCAGACAAAGTAATCACTGTATGCATGCGCGTGCATGGACTTTACTTGAAAAAAGAATTAAAAAATTCAACAATCTGGTTGTATATTGTATATAGAAAAGGCTGCAATCCCTCCCACCACACAACATTTCACAATGATCCTTAAATCTACACGTGCATGGAATGTGCCATGTACTAGTTTCTATATAGTGTGCCAATATAGATGCATCTGGACCGTTCGATCTTTTAAATCCGATGGCTGATATCAAATA